CTATCTCTTTACGTCAGATGCGCCTGGCCAATTTCATGCAGATTCCCTTCTTCCAAGCTCGATGCAGGCTATTCTTTGCCCAGAGCATGATGCAACGGGGACAACTCAAACCATCCGCAGATATTATCAGGCAAGTTCTGTTGTTTCCTACCCTTTCTGGTATACTGACTGGCCGACCTTCTATCCCATCGTTTAAGTAAAGAAACAGAAGGCCCTTAACTCACCGGAATTATGGCCTTATTCGTCTGAGCTTTCGAAACTTTACTGGAATCCGTTATCAGAGATGAAAGCGGCAACAAAGGAAGCAACAGTTATAGGGGACAGGGGTCAGTCAAACACCAGAAATACCAGTCCGGAGGTGACTGCGCAGTGCTCTGTATGCCGGCGCCAGATGGATAAATAGATATACTGAGTTCCCATCGGAGGCTTCCATACATTTCCGGCTTGTCTTGCTTTCGGCTTGCGCGATTATCCTCGCAGCTGCGAAGTTAAATTCGTGACCGGTCTCGTAGGTGTGGACAGCCACTTGCGATAATGCGTCACCCCGTCGTACAGCCAACTTATGTTCATGTATGCAGGAACCATGCATGCGTCCTGTCTGTCCTGTGTAATCTCGGGAACAGTTTAGGCATGGTATGCCATACACTACGCCCGACTGCTCACTGGGGTTTAATCGGTCCTCAATTTGCATGACCCGGCTGCGCATGGTAGCCTTACGACTGTGCGCAGTTCCGATACCTAGCCTCACAGCCATGTGCTTGGTCCCCTCTTGGTGTATGGCAGGGCACAGCATACCGTATAGGTTGGTTCTGGTTTGGTCCCCCAGGGGGCGAATACGTAGACGTCGGCTTATGAACACCCTCGGATAGCTGTCCCGCACACATTTTTCGCTTTTATCTCCGGCGTCGGACCACAGAAGAAGTTCGAAAGCTCCGATGAATAAAGCCATAATTCTGGCGAGCAAAGAGCATTCTATTTGAGGTAAATGTTCGTATCCCGGGTACGTGTGTAGATAGAGAAGTAGAAGGCGTTGCGATCACCGGAATCATACTTTTACTTGTCTGAGCTTTCGGGCTCCTTCTGGAGTCCTTCGTTAGCGATAAAAGGCGTACACGAAAGAATAGCAACAGTTATAGGACGCAGGGACCAATCAACCGTTATGGGGGAAGGGGG